AGACCTTGGTGTCTAGCTTTAGGGATGTAACCTAATGGTTTTTGGCAAGGCAGAGGGAGTGGACGAGAAGGACAAGTCCTTCCAGAGACGTTTACACCATGCTGGATAGAATCCCTTCCAAGGCCATGCCAGCCATTGAAAATTTCCTTCTGCAGAATCGCTCCAACAGCTTTCCACTGTGATCAGAAGAACTGAGACACACAGAAATAGATTATAGGCCAAGCTAGTGTTTGGCACTGGTGTTTCACACACCAAGGCAGGGGTGGATACATCAGGGATGTGGGACGGCACATCTGTCCACACGCTTATGTTCATCTTCAAGGCACACAGTGTAGGTATTGGAGCTTCTGCAGCAGGGCACAGAGGCAGGTGAGTACCCTTCAGGAGCAGGCTGTTCTGTAGACAATGCTATAAAGGAAAATGAGAAAGAGAATAAGTTATCAATTCTTGCTCTCTTGTGTGTGTCGATGGTTGAGCTGAATGTAGAAAAGTGTTTAGTAGAGGCTGGAAAGAGGGTAGAGGGACAGAGACTGTTTGGATAACAGGTACCTAAAGAGGTGGATGGAAGACATAAAGTCTAGGTTACAGAGCACACTAGTGACTAGTTTTAAATAATCTTTTACAAATTTTATGAAATAGGCAAAATGGACGAGCCCAAACACACCAATGACAAAGTGCCAATATTATAGTGGTAACAAAAGAATCCTGATCTGGATAGTTCATGTGATGACTAGTGTTAATTGTTAACTTGACAAAATCTAGAGTTTCCTGAGACAGCCAACTCTGAGCATCCCTGCTGGGGGTTACCTTGATTATGTCAATTGTGGATTGTAGGAGATGCTGGATTGTATCAAGTGAAGGAAGGATCTGGACATTAGCACACATGCACTCAGTGCTCTCTGCAGTCTCCAGTTGTGGATATGACATGTCCAGTTGCTTCCAGAACCAGCATGACTTCCCTGCCATGGACTGGACTGTACCTCTGAACTATGACCTGGAATAAACCTGTTCTCCACTGTTGCTTTTGTCACGATATCTTAGCTTCAGGAGGACAAACCAAGATAGTATACATGGTATGCATGTATCAAAATGTCATATTTAATTGGACATGTTAGTTAGGTGAATGCAAAAGCTTAAAAAATGATTAAGGATATGGAAGTATAAGTACCTAGATTTGGTCATTTAGTGTTACATGTCTATGTCAAGTTGTCACACTGTACCACATGAAAATACAACTCTCTCTCTCTCTCTCTCTCTCTCTCTCTATATATATATATATATATATATATATATATACATACACACACAAATTTCTTTAGATATACATATCTTTATATACACACATATGTGAAGGCTGGAATAAAAAGAAATAGGGTAATCATGGGGATTGGGAAGGTGAATTTTACATGGCAACCTGGCCAGGTTTTACTATCCAGATGTACTCACCATTAGGTAGAGGTGACCTGAAGTCTTTTAGACAATACTAAATTTCAAGTGAGGGCATACGTTGGACAAACTCCCATATTGTTTATTATATCAGCCAAGACAATGAGGAAGATCCAACATCACCAAAGAAGAGACAGTTCTTACTACAGGCTGTTTGGAGACAAGCTGCAACATCGATTCCTCCATGTATGTCCAAGTTTTCAGAAAGAGAGTAAGATAGTGCTACATTAGTGTTACGTTTGGAATCTGAAATATGTTCCAAAGGCTCCTATATTTAATGCTGTGGATCCTGAGTCTGGGGACTGTTTGTAGTTCTTGAGGACCAGGACTCTGAATTGCTGCCTCCTGTCCTCTAGTTCTCTCTGCTTCTTCTCTGCTGTCTTACAGACAGCCTTCTGATCTGATGGACCCCACTGCTTCTGCCACCTGTCACCTCTGGAATGATGGCCTGCAATTCACTGTCACTCTGAGACAAAGCAGACTGTAATTCACTGTCACTCTGAGACAAAGCAGGCTTTCCTCCCTTATGTTGTGTTTGTCAGATATTTGTGTCACCACACACAGAATTAACTAATGTCAATAAGATGTGCACATTGACAGAGTTGTAAGAGGACACAGGCCTTGATCTACTGCATCTGGTTTTCTAGAGAACCCAATACTGAACTTTTCTGCTCATGGAATGTGATGCACGCATCTCTTCCCTTCTGGTGGGAAAGCTGTAACCATGGGAATTACATAGGGGCTTTAAGCAAGAGTAACTTTAGGTATCTGCCTGAATTTCTTTTATGTTGTGGCAAAATAACCTAGCCAAAGCAATGTAAGGCAGAAAGGGTTTCTTTTAGCTCACAGTTGAAGGTTATACTGAACTCTGGTAGGGAAATCACAGCCATAGGGGCCTGAGAGAGCTGGTCCAGTTGCAAATATAGGAAGTTGAAAGGGGTGAAAAGCGTTCATGTTCCACTATCCTTACCCACTTCATGCAGTCCAGAATCTTCTTTCTTGGGAGGAGGGTCCCGCCTCACATTAAGGTGGTTCTTCCACAGTACATCCAGGCTGGCTGAAGGCATCGCAGGTCCACTTGGCACCACTCGGCTCAGACAGGCCAAAGAAACCAACAGGGCAACCTGGGTCCTCACAGGTCAGCCTGGCTGAAGGCGCCGGGCTTGTACATGCCATTATGACAAGCAAATGTATTGTGGAGAAATGGGAGAGAAAGGGAAGCAGAAGGGTTCAAGCGCTGTGGAGAAAGGCAAGACTGAAGAAGTGAAGGCAGTGAAAAACAGGCTGACATGGGTGGCCTGATTGTCACCCAGGGCCACAGTGACATCAGGGACCAGGCCACTGCCTAAGGCCATGTCTGTGTTCCTACCATAGCCAGAGTCTGTGTTGACATTCATGACCCATATGGCTACCAAAGTCCTTATGGATGTCCAGGGTCTAGGCCTCAACCTGTGGAACGGTGACCACATTGGTGTCTGTGTGGCTTGCATTGCCACACAGAGCCATGGTGTCACCAGTGCTGCCTAAGGCCATTTCTTCCAGCAGCCAGCGTCTGAGTTGATGTCTGTGTCTCCTGTTACCACTGCGGGCTGTGCAGCTGCTCAGGGTCTGGTCTGCCATCTGAGACCATGTTGGTGTCCAAGGGCCATGCAGCCACCTGGAAAATGCTGATATGGGTGGCCTGTTCTGCCACTGGGGCCATGGTGACATATGGGCTCAAGCTGCTGCCTAAGGTCATATATGGATCTATGTTCCTGCTGTAGCTGGAGTCTGTGTCGATGTCAATGGTCCATGTTATCACAGGGGGTCATAGGAACCATGCATGTTGAAATCCAAGGGACTTGTTGAGCTGGTCCCTCCTGTCACTGGCCCTGACACTAGTTTGACACTGCAGCAGGAGTGCTTGTACCACGTCTCGTGGAAGATCTGGCTTCTGCACTGAGGAGAGATGGCCCCCACCTCATACCATGGGCATGGGAGAGCTATCACTGATGACACAGGCCTAGGAGAGCTGGCTCCATACCTCTCCTAAGGGGTATGCTCCAGAATCCCCAATTGAGGAGCTCAGCTACCACCCAGACCCAGATCCTGGGCCTTGGGTTAGCCCACCCTTACATCTACAACATCTATGATCTGCTAGAGCATGTGAAGGGACTGGTCCTGCAAAACAATATCCACAGGTTCTCCAAGACATAGGGAACGGCAGGATAACCAAGAGGAGATTCTGTGAGCCTCCGGTGATGATGGTGGGCCAGGGGCCTTGAACCAGAACCAATTACTCATTACAGTGAGCATGTTAGGTGGGGCTGATTTGACAAAAGGATATACTGTGTGACACAACACATATCCCAAATGCCACTATGTCAAATGAAGAGGTGTTAGAGATATGGGAAAGAGGGAGAGGGAAGCAGTTTTATTTGTTTGTTTTTAATTAATCTGGAGGGTTTCTTTTGGGGGGGGCTGCTGTAGAAGTGAGGGGCAAATACAGAGGGAATGCGAAGTGATATGAATTGGAGTACATCATGTGAAATTCCCAAAGAAAAAATAAAGAATTTTGTTTAAAAAACATGGTTCTTCCTTGATAATGAAATATAACAAAATAAAATAATCAAGATAATCTCTCATAGGGTTCTCATGCCCATCGAACATTCTGACATACTATCCAAAAGTCCATAATGGTCAACAGAGTAGTGGAAAAAAACAATTGTCAACAGCTCCACATTCTGGCCCAGTTCAAATGAGAGCAAGTACCAATAGTACCCTTGGGAGATTAGAGAAAAACATTCAAGCAGATATTTTCTTTTTTCTAATGAGTGAAATTACAAGGGGAGACAGTTTATAATTAAAGTTTGGGTTGCAAATCACATAGTGTGAATTTCCAATTCACTCACATTGGCTAGGGAAGTATATGAAATACATATCTTCATTTGTGTGGACCAAGAGGATCTACAGATGTGTTTACTCTTCTGCTTTTCCCTAGCAACTCCTGGTTGGAGTGTGACTAATGGTCACAGTCCTTACCTGTTGTGTGCCTCCTGTGAGGGCTCACACCTCCTGATGAAGTGTGTTTGTCTGCACAGAGTTGTGTAGGAGAAGGCTAGCAGCTGGCTCCAGGCCGGTCAACCCCCTCTTGAGCCAGACTAAGGTCTGCCTCAAGGCCTGGAGACTGCTGACATCATGATGGCCTGAGCTAATGAGAGAGAGAGAGAGAGAGAGAGAGAGAGAGAGAGAGAGAGAGAGAGAGAGAGAGAGAGAGAGAGAGAGAGACTAAGAAGTATTCTAGCTTGGCAGAAGGGGTATAAATGGCCTGCCCGTACCCTCGATAAAGAAGTTGGTTTTTGCTTTTACCCTGGCTTCTGGATCTCCTGCCACATTCCCAAAGAGGCTACCCACCCACTTGAATTCATCCCCTCCAACAGTGTTGGGCACTCGATACCGTCAAAGCAATGTGACAAGCAGACCAGGCTGTGAGAATGCAGAAGTGTGTGAAGACTTTCACAGGGGTAAAAGGTCCAGGATTCATTTGACCACAAAAATCACAAATCAAATCCATATTTATCATGGATATTATACAAATGATTTTAATGGAAATGAGTTTTCCTCACACATTTGCAAAGTGTTGAAGCTTCTCCTACTACTACAGCACACTTGAGCCCAGGCTCAGGATGAGGAAAAGGACACTCTCTGGCGCTCCACAAACAAGGTGTGTTACTCGGGAGTAGGTTATGATTCAGTGTCCAAAGCAAGGCCAGACCTAAACATTGAGTGGAGCTTGTGCCTTGTTTCCCATCATTCCCAGTAATCAGGAGCCTTAGATATAAATGGTCCCACCTTCTTTTCCAAAAGGTCTTCCCTATTAAGAAGAGCTATGGCATCATTTGCTGCAGTTTCAAGAAAGAGATTCTGCAGATAGTAAGTCTTTCTGTAGTAAAACCTAGCAGCAAATGGTCCACCAGTAACTGAGGAAATGAGTTCAATATAATTCAGTAGTTTTTTCCCTAAGGATACATCGTTGCCTTCTGCAAACAAATTTGGAAAGCGAAGGCGTACCTTGAGTTCATCCGTGGACATACCAAAATCTTGAGCAATGTTTTCCAATGAGGCATCATCCAGCCCAAAGTAAGACCTGTAGAGATTGAATGTTTCATTCAGATCCTCTAAGTCATCCCTAATCTTACCAACCAATGGAATGATGGCCAATGCTCCAGCCTTCAGAGCCTCTAGGAAGACTTTCTGTTTCAGGAAATCTCTCTTGAGGTTAATGGTGTCCTCAGTAACACTGTTTAAGGACAGCATGAAGACGTGGCGCTTGTGGGCTGGGAGCTCACCCAATAGGGTGGTCTGCAGCTTTGGGAAGTCATAGTCAGACATGTCAAAGTTGGAGACCAAGAAGACTGGAGGCTCACTGGAGAGGGCTTCCTTGAGTTGCTTTGAGCAGTCACCTCGGATTTTCATCAGGACATTCTCCTTATTGAAGGCCTTAGGTTTACTTTTCTTTTCATTATATATGTCATTATCTATCTTGGTTCGAACAAAGTAGAAATTCATCTTCATCATTTTGATGGCTTCCGCTAGTTTTGCATCATTTTCTTTGAAGCGTGAAGCTGAGATGATAATAAAGAAGTCATACTCAGCAAACTTCATTTCCTTTAGATAGTTTTCTGGTGGGAAGGAAGTGGACCCAATGCCAGGCAGGTCCCATATTGTCACCTGAGGAAGCTTTGGGTGTGGGTATGGCACTCTCTCCATTGTTGTCTCTGTCACCCCAGTAGGGGCTGCACCATCTTCTTCCTGCCCCATCCCCATCAGGGCATTGATGAAGGTGGACTTTCCTGTCCCTGTCTCCCCTGTCACAGCAATGTTCAGGGGAGCATTCTCGATGTCTCTCAGTGCAGTGTGGATTACGGAAAATGCATCCTGGAGGTTATTTTCCTGAATGTGGGTTTTAATCAAAATGATGGTTTCCTCAGAGAGGATTTGGCTTTCCCTCTTAAAATTCTTAAAGAATGCATCAATGCTGGAGGCCCAAGCCATGTCTCTGTATGTTGGAAACTGAAGGAATATAGAGGAGAGAAATTATAATCATTAACTAAAGCAGGGCATAGCTTTGGAGTTTGCTGGTGCAGTAAAGCAGGGCCCCAACCCTGTCCCACATCAGATCAAGCATTGTCATTCTGGACTTCTCTTGGTTGCTATTTCTGCTGCTGACCTGGATATGAAGAGGCCACTTGCTCACACTTCACTTCCTGCTAGGAATTTCCTTGTATCTCTTGGTCTAATTCAGACTCCACTTATCCTGTGAAGTTAGCCATTGAAGCCTTTATTATCCCTCTGAAGTCACCTTTAAATTCCTTTAAATTAATTTTCATTAAAATGACATCTATACATGTTGTCAACCCCCAAAATACATTAAAAAAACAGTAAGACTTTTCTTGGTAGGGTCCTCAACCTTATGTGAACCCATTACTGAATTGCCTGTAGGTTCCCAAGGCCTCTTGTCTCTTTGCATGGTTATTCTGTATGAGGAAAGGAGACTGGACAAGGGATGGAAAAGTCTGAAGTGAAAAGAGATGTCCAACTAACTGTAATTTCCCTCTCTTCTCTTAGCGGTGGTAGGACATGACCTCCATTTCAGGCAGACTCATAAGTGAGTGACCCTGCTTCCTGGACTTTACATGCTCAGTTGTGTATGGTCCAATGTTGTGTTCTCTAGAGTGATTAGGTCAGAATTCAAGACAATATAAGAATCAGAGCTTCCACACCAGGCACTGAGAGGGACATCCTGTGAGAATTCTGACAAGCATCTTGTATTATGCTGACTTGGTTTTTAAGGTCAAAACATTTCTCAAAATCACAATGGCTCACATAGCCAGAAAGCACCAGGACAAACAGTTAAAACTATAAAAAACCACTATATTGCGAATCTTATTATTTCATATTTACGTAAATTATATTACATATGTATAATATATACATTTTATTTTTATCAATTTTATTTAAATTAGAAACAATCTTATCTAATGTATCAATCTCAGTTTCCTCTCCCTCCCATAACCCCCCTACTGAAACCCCCCATCCTACCCCCCATCTACGCCTCAGGGAGGGTGTTGTCTTCCATGAGGGATCATCAAAGTCTGTCAAGTCATTTGGGGCAGGGACTAGACCCTCCCCTTTGTATCTAGGCTGAAAGAGTATCCCTCCATGAGGAATGGGTTTGTGCACTGTGGATAAATACTGGTTTCACTGCCAGAGGCGCTATAGACTGCCAAGACCTCCTAGCTGACACTCATGTTCAGGGGGCCTGGTTCAGTCCTTATGCATACACTTGGAATGATGTAATGGCACTTGGTTGATAATGTCTCCCCTTTTAGTCATACAGTAACAGAAACTTTATGTCAGGAATGGGAAACTTCTCTTGAGTTGCTGGTGAGGGAATCCCAAAATACTATCAAAACAGCACAGGCTACTGCTGTTTCCCTTGCTTGACCCCCAGAAGTTGAAGGCCCCTTTTCTGACGACAGCACACACTTCAGGTACAGGACTCAGAGAAATCCAGCTGCACGAATGCCAACGTCTCCTCCCCGAGGGCTAGTCTAGCTTTCATAACACCAGAGGGTGCCGTGCAGGTTGCCAAGGGAGGAAAGCATTCAATGATCCTACCCAGCTGTGGCACCTGTGAGCCACAATGATGATCCCCATGCTGAGATAACTAGAGGTGCAATGGCGGCATTTATGTTTTGGTGGGAACACACAGCCGTCTAATCAGACTTCAGGCTGGCTGAACAAGAAGAAAATCACACCTGGTTAATGAAAAGCTAGCCAACCACCTGTTACCAGTGAGGTCATAGATCTTAGAGGAGAACCCACTGTGGCCACTTTCCTATCCTAAATACTCACCTTTATACTCACAGATAGGTTGAGCTGTCACTCACCAACAAAGATGCTGCTTTTCAAAGCAGAGATTACTTTAGAAAGACACAACTAGTCAAAGAGCAGAGAACAACTGACCTGTGGTGCACAGATGATACACTGTAACTCAAGATTTACACCCAAGACCCAGGAAAAATGCAAAAAAGTGTGCAGAAAGGCTACAAGAGTGAAAAGACAGCAAAGTCTGCAATATTGGGTCTTCTGCATGTGACCTGATGATAAATCCATGAAACTTCAACATTGTAGCCATTTAAACAGGATCTGAGCAAGGATACCACCAGTTGACATGCCAAAGTGGATGTCGGAAATTGCATGTGTTGTCACACTTAGATGAAGAGTCACAAGTGATCAAAAGCTGCAGATAGGGAGAAGTAGACTTATGCAGAGATGAGTCTGTCTGTATATCCATAGATGCATGTATCCATCCATCCATCCATCCATCCATCCATCCATCCATCCACCCATCCATCACCTATCATCCATCTGTATACATACATATGTATATATATATGCTATACAAAATGCAGCAGGTTGTTTTGATGTATTTATTTGTTTGAAGGTATGTCACAGTAATAAATTATTAGAGGCCATACATTTAAAGGGAATAGGAGGTATGGAAGGGACTGTAGGGAGGAGAAGGGGGTAAGGATGTAATTATATTTTAATGAAAGAAAGGACCTTTGGTTCATGACAGGCATTTATATTAAACAAAATTCAAAATTCAGAAAAAGAAAGAGGGAGGGAGGGAGAGAGAGAGAGAGAGCGAGAGAGAAGAAGGAAGGAAGAGAGGAAAGAAGGAAGAGAGGAAGGAAGGAAGGCAGTCTATTTTTAGATCCAAGGGCAATCATGGGAACACCATACTGCACAGAATGTCATTCACAGTGTCTGCCTAAGAACATCACACTGATGTACCTAAGCCAGCCAGTGCTACATTGTAGGATATTGTCTCCAAAACTCTGGATAGAGCCTCATGACGACTTGATTACTTAATAGGGTGCTGGCAGCGGGTCAGCCTTCCGGTCCACCCACTATCCACTCCATGAGGTGAATCCCTGTTCCTCAGAGACTTCAGACCCCCAACCTGAAGTGACTGCTATGCATCTTGCCCACCCAGTGTCTGGCCTGTCAGAGTTGCCAGCTGTCAACCCACCTACTCACCCAGGGAGGTCAGCATTCACACTTTTGAGTCTTAGACATCCATGTTCACCTGACATCTGCTGACCACCCCATGCATGAGAACCTTTGAGACCACCCAACTGCTTCCTATTATAAAATAATTTAGGCCGTAAATATGTACAAAAGAAAATCAGTCAGTGTTCTAAGCAAATTCGAACATAAAATCTTGGTTATGTAAAAAACAACACAGTGAGTTTCTTCTAAATCCCTGAGTAATGGCCTTCATGGGAATGACTTAGATAGAGTTCCAGAGAAAGTATTTAAGTGGTTGTTGTAAATGTGTTTAAAAAACGTGGGCTTACCATTCCAAATAGAGAGATGCTCTCTCAGCCTGGACACATGGGGAAGGGCCTAGGTCCTTCCCTGCATGAAATGACAGACTTTGGAGATCCCCCCAAGGAGGGCCTCGCCCTCCTTGGGGAATGATGTGGGGATTGGGTGGGGGCTGGGAGGGCTGCTGGAGGGACAAGGGAGGTGGGGTGGGAGAGAGCTGGGATTGACATTCTAAGCATTCATGTTTCTAATTTAAATAAAAATATATATTGAGTAAAAAATGTGGGCTCAAACGCTCAGCTAGGTGAAAGGTAGGAGTCAGCACAGGGTATGAAAATAAAAATCAATCAAGAGAAATACTGAGGAAAGTCTTGACTTAAATGAGGTTAGAGACTAAAAATTCTTAGTGGAAAGATACCAACAGAGAGGATCTTATGGAGGAGAGAATATCAGGGTTGAAACATTGTAGGGGACTTGGATGACTTTTCAAGGAAAAACATAAAAATTGAAAACCTATGAACATTGCACGTGTGACCTGTGGAACACCATGAAAATATGGCCTTAGAAGGAGAACTCCATTCCAACAGCATAGAAAAGGTTCTCAACCAATGGTAGCATAAAATTCCACAAATTTAGAGACAGAAAAGCACATCCATGTAGATACATGAGGCTTGGAGGACACCAGATACACAGGGCTGAAAAAGGAACTGCTGGAGTCATATTATAGCTAAAACCCTGCATATATACAGAGCCAAGTGTTCTGCAAATGCAAGAAAAAAGCATCAAGAACTATAAATGTGGCCATCAGAGTAACAACTGACTGAGAGCAGCAGAATTTTTGAAAGCACCATGCTCAGCCTGATCTGCCAGAGTTTGTGGTTGTTTCTGATCTGGGCTTTTATCTCCATGGGCAAATGAGGAGCTTACAGCATACACTCCAAGAGCATCTGGGTAACCAGCCTGCTGTCTGTCTCCAAGCTTGACTGCTTCAGAAGACTGGCACAGCCCTCAGCACTCATGTGGAAGGAAGGGCTGTTGCTTGTCTGCTTTGGGATGCTCTGTGTCACAGAAGATGGCCACAGAAGGAGGCTACTGTGAACGCTCCCTGATTAAATCTCCCCAGTTTCTCCTGCTCCAGTGTCAGCAGCCCACTCTCAGTGTTATCACCCGTGTAGGGTTATTGGCCAAGCTGAACTTAGAAACTGTTCACTTACCTGAGCAGTGGCGAGCTTGATCTGTTGGCAATGCCACCTGTAGGAAAGCTCTCCTCTTCAGAAAGCTCTTTACAAACCAGCGAGGGCAGTGATCATGGAATGATCTAAATCTGGAGCTCACTGATCTAAATCTGGAGCTCACACTCAGGATGTTCAGGAAGAAAGCAGGTGAGGTGTGGAGTTCTGGTGTCCTCAGAAGAACTGCGTAAAGAAAGGAGGAGCACTCGGGATGCACTGATCTTCTCCAAGTTACTTTAGCATCCCTGGCCACACGGAGTCTTTGCTTTGTACACTTTTCTGGCTGTATATGAGCTCAATTTATGCAAACCACCTTGTGGTCAGAGTTGGTTTCAGTTTCCATTCCTAGAAATGAAACAGTGAAACAATGGGGAGATTCTTCAGAGAATTTGCAGATGGGTCAAGCTGTTTGAGGTTGGTTTTACTAATTCTGTGGTGTGACCACTGAAGTACAAAAAATTGAAATTAATAAAAGTTCCTGAAAAGGGAACTTCTAATGACTGGGAATGCTGTGCCTGGCACCTGAAACCCTCTCTCAGAGAAGGGGAGGTCACCCTCTGCCACTTGGGTCAAAATTCCTATGCCTGCTAATTGCTGGACCTAAGGTTGTAAAGATCCCATGGTCCAGGGGCTAACTGACAGACCCTGTGACCCTGTGACCTTGCAATCCCCTGCCCTGTCTTATCTTATTCAAATGAATGTATGTTGCTTAAAATATGTAGTTACTGCTTTACTCTGTACTTTGTATGACCTTAAGTAACCATGGAAACTCTGAAATTTGTGACCTTCAACCTTATGGTATACCCCTTTAAAAGCTTCTCTTTTTGGCTGGTTGGAATCTCATTTCCCCACCATGGAGTGAGATTCAAGTTGGCCAACTTGAACAATAAAAATAAATCTTTGCTTTTGCATTGGAGGTGTCTGCTCCTCGGGTTGGTATCTGGGCTTCCATGAACCTGGCACAACACTATGAGAGCACAGTTCATGGTAGAACCTGGGTTTGACCCTATGGCTTCCCCACTGGGGACTGCTAACTCAGGTGATGGCAAGTAGCCCTGGGCATGCTATCCTTCTGTTGTGTGTCTTGGCTTGTTTTTAGATTTATCAATCTGACTTAAGTTTTGGTTTTAATAAAGTTGAGGCTTTGAAATAAAAGACTCAGGCCAGGAACAGACAATAGAAAATTCTCTAGGTAAGACACTGGTAATAATTAGCCAATGGATTATAAGGGGAAAAAACTCACAAAGTTATAAGTTTTGGGAGGTACATTATCTTATATTCCTGCCTAGGTGTGAGCAAAGATTAATCTTGTAACAGTATCCTGCAGATGCTTCACCATCCAAGCAAGCATGTGTCTCATACAAAAGTAGATCATAGCTGTGAGCCTGTTTAATCTGTGACCCATTACTTTGTAGGAACACCTTAGGCTGTGAATTGTGCAACCGTTAACCTTTTTTTTTCTTATTTACATTAGAAACAAGCTTTTTCACATGTCAACTCCAGCTCCCTCTCTCCTCCTCCCCTGCCCTCCCCACCAGGCCAGCTGTTCCCCCCATCTTCCTATCCCCCACCCAATCTACAAGCTTTTTTTTTTTTTGTTTTCTTAAGAGTAGTCTAGCTGCACCAGGAAGTGGTCTGTCAGGGGCCAACTCACAGGGTACATTAAAGATAGACGAGATAGGAGCTACTTCCTCATGGGTTATATAAGCTAAAAAGGACTTTGTTTTTACATGCCTAACACAGTAAATTCATCCTCTAAACATAATGTTCAGCATAACATTTCCAAACCGGTGAGTCCTAGCTGTTAGATGGCTTCAGACCCTCACAGCGGCCTTGTCCACTGAGACCTTGACCAGTGTGATTGTTCTGTATTCACTTGCTTGTTTGCTGTGATCTCAGCTGCTGGCAGTCTTCATACAAGAAAACACAGGAGCAACGAAGAACGGATGGTCAGAACCCTAATCCTGAATCACGTGTGTCAGTGTAGAAGCGTGTCTGACCCAGGCGATGGTGGAGAATGGGATTTCCTAGCACCCTGGAGTCAGTTGAACAGTGAACTTCTACTGGAAGCAGAAACTGGGTGTCCTGGCCATGTCAGGGAAGGCCCAACAACTGTGTGATATTCCCAAGAAAGATTGGAGGCAGATTTTCCCAATGCAAGGTGATGTAGTGAGCATGGGGGAGGGGTTATGTTGCTCTCAGAGGTGGAGGACAGCTCTGCAGTCATAGCCATTTCCTCATCCAGAGGACTTCAGTGCTCCCTGGGTATTCATAAGAAGAGCGAAACAGCAGAGTGGAGCCTGGGCCTCATTCAGCCTGAGCTGTTACCACTGTGTTTCAGGGTTCAGTTCATGCTTTGGGAGACTGGCAGGCTGTTCCTGTGTCCTGCTTTCCTTATGTGGTGGCAGCATCAGGTGTCTGGGAAGACAGCAGTTAGGGGAGACATGCAGAGATCTGTATCTCAGTGAGTCCAGCTTCCCAGCTCAGCCAGTAGTGCAAAGGCAACATCTCCCCTTATCTCAGAGTCAGTGTTTGTTTCCCCTTTATGCCCTTGGGCAGAGGCCCTCCTTGGTAGGGCAGAATATAATGAACAGGACATCAGGAAACCAAGTTTGTTATGCAGGAAGGACTATTTGAATGGACACAGTATTAGACACAGAAGACAAGCAGAGTCCACTCATTCTGTTCCTGAAGCTGTGGTTTGTTAAATCAGTGGGAGTTATAGCCCTGAGTTGTATCTCTTCAATGTGCCCAGGCCTGTGTGTTACCTGCACACAGTTAATGGTTTAGGATCAGTGTGTGTGAGTCATCTCCTTGTGGAAGGAAATGGGATGGCTGTGCATTTAAAATATCCTTTAAAAAGATATTTTGTAACTAATCCATGTCCTGTTCCCTTCAGCCTCTGTTCTAAAAATTCATCAGGTGTGGATCTGTCTTGCACACAGTTGAGGTCTGGCTTGTCATTCTCCTTTGTGTGCTACTGTTCTTAGAGTCTCTGAAACTTCTCAGGGATGTGGGAGTCACCACAGAAGATCCATAGTGAGGAGGAGTCCTCAAAGCACTGGAAATTCTTCTCTCATGTCTTGGATTTTTATTTTTATTTTTGGCCCATTATTTGGTGTTCTCACAAATGGATATTTCTGTGCTGTGGATTTTTGTTTTCATTCATAAAACACAAAGTAAAGGCTGTCTGCTTATAACTAATGAGGTAACATGAAGAATGAAGAAATCACAAACCATCTGAGGAGTAGCACCAAATAATGGATCACAATTTTTTTAAAAGTGTGAGAATCTAAGACATGAAAGACTCACCGGTTTGGAAATGTGATGCTGAACATTATGTTTAGAGGATGAATTTACTGTGTTAGGCATGTAAAAACAAAGTCCTTTTTAGCTTGTATAACCCATGAGGAAGTAGCTTCTACCTTGCCTACCTTTAATGTACCCTGTGAGTTGGCCCCAGACAGACCTCTTACTGGTGTAGTTAGACTGCTCTTTAGAATAAAAAGCTAACCATTGAACATTTCACAGCCTAAGGTATTCCTACAAGGTACTTGGTCACAGATTAAACAGACTAATGCCTTGATCTGCTTTTTTTGAAATGCTTGTTTGCTTGCATGATAAAGTATCTGCAGGATGTCTGTTAAAAGATTAAACTTTGCAAACACCCTGGCAGGCATACAAGTTAATGAGGCTCCCCAAAATTATAACTTGGTGGATTTTTTTCCACTTGCAATCCATTGGCTAACTATAGCCAGGGTGTTGCCTAGAGATCACTCTCTGATTTGGTACTGGTTTATTTAAAAGCTTTAATTAAAAGCCTCAAATTTATTAAAACCAAAAGTTAAGTCAGACTGGTAAATCTATAAAGAAGTCAAGACACTGCAGAAGGACCCCATGCGTGCCCAGGGCACAGATGTAGCAAGGCCAACTTCAAACGGCTTTACATATCTGCAATATCCTCTAAAGAACTTCCCCATTGTTTCATGCAAACCTGCCATTTCTAGGAATAGAAACTGAAACCAACTCTAGTTGTAAGTTGGTTTGTATAAATTGAGCTCATATCCAGCAAGAAGTGTAAACAGCAAGGGCATTGGGTGACCAGGGATGATAAAGTAACTTGGAGAATATCAGGCTGTCCATCCCTAGTGTTCCTCATTTCTTTACGCAGTTCTTCCTGGGACACCAGCACTCGACGGGTCATCTCTTTTCTTCCTGAACATCCTGAGTGTGAGCTCCAGGTTTAGATCATTCCACAATCACTGCCCTCACTGGTTTGCAAAGAGCTTTCTTAAGAGGAGAGCTTTCTAGATCAGTACTCATCCGGAGTATACACACGGACTTTGGACTCCCATCCAACAATGTGAGACGCACTCTCACCCTGAACTCTTGGGGGAGGGTCTAGGCCCTGCCCTAGATGAAATGACAGACTGTGGACACCCCCATGGAGGGCCTCACCCTCCCTGGGGAAATGAGGGGATAATGGAGGGGTTAGGGGGAGGGCACGGAAGGAGGGGAGGGAAAGGGAGAGGGACCTGGAACTGACTTGTGAAGCAACCTTGTTTCTAATCTAAATTTAAACTTAAAAATAAAATAAAATAAAAAAGAGGAGAGCTTTCCCACAGGTGGCATTGGCAACAGATCAAGCTCGCCACTGCTCAGGTAAGTGAACAGTTTCTAAGTTCAGCTTGGCCAATAACCCTACACGGGTGATAACACTGAGAGTGGGCTGCTGACACTGGAGCAGGAGAAACTGGGGAGATTTAATCAGGGAGCCTTCACAGTAGCATCCTTCTGTGGCCATCTTCTGTGACACAGAGCATCCCAAAGCAGACAAGCAACAGCCCTTCCTTCCACATGAGTGCTGAGGGCTGTGCCAGTCTTCTGAAGCAGTCAAGCTTGGAGATGGACAGCAGGCTGGTTACCCAGATGCTCTTGGAGTGTATGCTGTAAGCTCCTCATTTGCCCATGGAGATAAAAGCCCAGATCAGAAACAACCACAGTCTTTGGCAGATCAGGTTGGTCACTGAGGCTTTTTTTTTTATATAATAGCAAGCAGTTGAGTTGTCTTTCAAGGCTCTGATGCATGGGGTGGTCAGCACAAGTCAGGTGAATGTGGAAGACTCAAAAGTGTGAATGCTGACCTCCCTGGGTGAGTAGGTGGGTTCACAGCTGGAAAACCAACAGGCCAGACACTGAGTGGGGAAGATGCATAGCAGTCACTGCAGGTTGGGGGTCTGAAGTCTCTGAGGAACAGGGATTCACATCATGGAGTGGATAGTGGATGGACAGGA